CTGATTCAAACAAAACAAAACAAAAACCCTATACCTAGACACAATATTTGGGAATTTTATAACCTCACAGTTAAAAGAAAATCCTAAAAGATACCAGAGTAGAAACTTGTCACCATCAAAAAAAAAAAAAAAAAAAAGACACCAACAACATAGCAACCAATCTTTACCAACTTCAGAACAAATAGAGTTCACCAAAAAAATGTGTGTACATGGGGCTGGGGATTTAGCTCAGTGGCATAAGTGCCTGCCTTGCAAGTATGCGGTTGTGAGTTTGATCCCTGGTACTGATAAAAATGAAAAAGACCAAAAAAAAAAAAAATGTGTGTACACTTTAGGAAAAGAAAAACTCGTATAATTTTTTTTACACCAGGAATCAAACTCATGACCTTACTCTTGCCAGGCAGGAATTGTGCCACTGAGCTGTATCCCAAGCCCAAAACTTATATAAATACTTTAATACGAAATGTATTCAGACATCATGAGATTAGTACGTTACCTTTTTACCTTTGGCCTCTACAGTTACAAAAGGTGCTCTCAGTGGTGTCCACCAGCTTCCTGACATTTATTACTACAGCAAACCCATGTGTGTGTCACCTTAGTCACTGAGACTACTGCACACACATTTTTGATTTCTCCTCTCAGGGCCGGCGGTGCAGTGGGTTTTCTGTGATGCGTGGCATCCTCTAGCGTCTCTCACAGGAGGGTGACCCCATCTGTGGAGGAAAGAGTGTGCCATTTTCTTGTCCTGGAGTGGGTATACATTTGTTTGGTGGACTCTACTTTTGGTGCAAGACTTGGTCGGCTTCGTGCTTCCTGTAGAGTCCAGACTGACCCTGCTTCCTCAAGACCGTACCAGTAAGCTCTCCAGTGTGCCATTTGTTTTCACTTTCAGTTCCTCCCCTAAAACTCTGCTCCCCGTTACCGGAGAAGCACAGGGCATCTTCCCTTGAGATGCACCCTCTCATTCCTTCTTCAGCCAGCGCTCTCCCTCCAGGAACCAGGACCTGGGGACCGTCCAATTGGTGAGTAGAAATGCTTCTTCCACATCTCCACTGGCTCTTCCCATTCCTGCTCTTTTTTTATTCTTTAAAGGGGCAGCCATCTTTAATGATGCTAGCACAGAGAAGGGCAGGTTAACTATTGCAGGCTCTGGAAGAAAGGCAAGCACACACAATTTAGTGTTCCCAGGTGGATGCCAGGCAGAGGAGCCACGTACATTTTCACAAAGGGTCATGTGACACAAATATACAAATATTCTGACACTTAGTATTCTTTTTCAATTTTAAAGATAAAAAAATAAAATTTCAAAACAAGAGAAGAGGGTAACAATGGTTAATCCATTGTGCATTGGTATCTTTAAATTAGTTACTCTAAGTACGACATACTTGCTTTTCATTGTCCAAACAATATTAGCACAAGCTCTTCTTTTCAGACATGTAGTATTTTTAAATATTTTAAAGGACATCATAAAGTTGAATGTGTACAAAATATAAAACTGTTTACGTTACAGGGAAATGATGAAAGAGTCCACAGACACACTGCCACCATCAGGACGTGTTGAGATCTACAAGGGGAAATGCGTAATGTAAATGCAGGCAAGTGATACAAATGGGCAAAGACCATAAATGCTCTGCTTCATGCATAACTTTGAAAATGAGTTTCAAGAGAGATGTTTTCACAATCCAGCTTGGTCAAAACCCGTAGCCTGGTAAAACCACAGAAGAGCTGGCGCTGCCAGAGAGCAGGGAGCCTACATTTGGCAGGTGCACCCAAGCAGCCGCGCGGTGAGCCCTATTGGGTGTCTGTGAACACAGCCGAGGTGAGCAGTTACAGCCTTTATGCATGGTGACACTTCCTGGGCACCTCTGCTGTGCCGGTGAAACAGTCAGCACAGATTCCTGGGTAGAGAGGCTCTGTAATGTCACCAGTGCCCTGCCACACAGTGCAGATGTGGAAGAGGCTCGTGGCCTTCGGAGGACTCAGAGTGCACACATAGATCAGGCGGCAGATGTGGCTGCATCGCTGTCTAGGGATTGACAGTACAGGCTTTTGCTCTAAGCTTCTATAGTGTCTGTTATCAAAAAAGACATTCCAGCCCTTTACAAGTAACAATCATTTGAGAAAAGGGCTCCAGTTCCCTCCTGAGTGCTCCAAGGATCCGCCCTGTGTTAGGAAGTGATGGGGACCCAGGCTCAACTCTGCCCTGTGCAGAAGAAAGAGCCCATGGCTCCCTGAGGCCTGACTCTTGCTGCACAAGCCTACTGGAGAGGTGTGGTGCCTCTGGCATTGAAGGTCCCACCCTTCTGTGCACCCCCCTGTGGGAAGGCGGGAACACATGCAGTGACCCTAACATGTGAACCCCAAAGAACCCCTGGAAAGGGCAGAACACCTTCTCAGATAGTGATCCTGCTGCAGTTCATAACTCGCACAGAAATGCAGTCCAGGTTTCCAACACTTGATCCTTAAATGTTCTCAAGGCCCTGCCAAGAGGATCACAGTGGCAGCCCTGCCCACCTTTACTGGCTGCCCTGGAAGGCAGGCCACCTGTCTGGCCAGCAAGTCCACACTGTTCACAAGAAGTGAGGGGACTGTGTGGCCTCAGTGCCCCATGGGGACTCCCTGGTCCCAAAGGCCAGGGGTTACAGCTGCTGCTTCAGCCTCCTCCAAGAAAGCACTGGGCTCTGACTTCTGCACAATCCTGTTTCTTCTGTCTGTGTGAGTTCTTCTTGTTTCTCTCTTTGGAGGCAGCCTGGCGGGGAAGAGGCAGGACAGACCCTGGGGTCACATAGACGTGGGTTTAAATCCTAGCTCTGTGACATATTTTCCTGTTTGGTGTTCTTAGTACTTTTAGTCAAAGAACATCAGGTCTGGAAAGGGCCTCCAAAAATCATCTTTTCTCCCTGGAAATGGTCCCAGGACTAGCAAAACTGGCCACCAAGGTTAGTCACAACACTGATCTCAGTCAGAGTGCTGTGAGCTTGTGCTTAATTATCTCTGGGGAGGCCCCAGCTTTGTGGGCATTCACTGGCCAAGTGGAATGAATGTCCCAAGACTTGATTAACGGGACACTGGCTAGGTTTGAGGGACCAGGGAATCTTGGAGGAGCTGTGATCAGAGTTTACATCAGAGTGGTTCGTTACTTAGCGATGAAGCTGGTCTCACTGGACTAAGAAAGGCTCCCAGGAACTAAGCTGCGCCTGGTGCTTCCTTTGGTCTGGCACGAGTTTGGAGCTTCATCAAAGCCTTAGGTAGGTGTACTACAGAGAGCCTCACGAGTTCCTGTCGATTGTTCAACCTTTTGTCATTGCTGAAGATGGTGCTGCGAATAGGATCATTGAAATAAATGTTTTACTTGTGACATTTTTATTTTAAAGAGAATAAAACCAAGCAAAATAAAACAGAATAAAACCAATCAAAACAAACCAGTGTGACACAGAACTTCAAAACAATAGGAAATCAACAATGGTTACCATAATACCTCTTGTTGTCTTCAAAATATTTTAGACATAATAAAAATCAAACAGAACAAAATAGAACCAACAAAAATAAAACAATGAATGCAATAAAGGACTTCAAAACAAGATAATAGTAAATATAAAATGACTGCAATAATATATCTTGTCATTCTTGAAATAGCTGCCCAAGCCATCAGATATAATAAAATCAAACAAAACAAAACAGAATAAAACCCAACCCAACAAAGCAATGAAAGTGACACAGAACTTCACAACAGAGCTCCAGCGCCGCCACCCTCTTTCTCTTGCAGTTTTTATTCATCACCTTCACCATCTCCCCCACCCATTAATTCAGGGAAAGAATCTAAATTCTCTGCCAGGTAAAGTTGCCTGTTCTCCAGATTTGGCTGACTGTGTTTCTGTGACACAAGTTAGTATTTCCTACTTTTTTTTTTTTTTTTTGAGACGGGTCCCACTATGTAGTTCAAGTTGGCCTTGGACTCACTGTGTAACCTAGGTGGCCTCAAACTCATGGCGATCCTCTTGTCTCAGCCTCCTGACTGCTGGGAGTACAGATGTGCGCCACTACACTGGGCTGTGTTCCTCTAGTTTCTCTGTTCCAATAACCTAATGCTTGGATTAGTTGTTTAACCAGGTTCAGGTTCTCTTTTCTTGAACAAACCTCTGTCTACTGCTTGTGAGAAAGTTGCTGATTAGATTCTGGATCAGCCCTACAAGGACTGGGCAGGTGTTTACATCTGTAAGTCATCTTGTACTGGGAAGCCAGGCAACAAAAAGGGAGGGTAACTATGATACACTAAGTGGAAAAAGCAACATGAACTATGACAGATGCATTGAAGCCTTTTAAAATAACTAGGTGTGGTGGCACACACACTTGTAATCCCAGTTGTTTGAATGGCTGATGCAGGAGGATCAGAGCTTCAGGGCCTGCCTGGGCAATACAGCAAGACCTGACCTCAAAAGAGGAGACAAAAAGGGGCTGAGATATGTGTAGGTCAGTGGTAAGCTCTTGTCTAAAATACAGGAGGCTCTGGGTTTAATTCCCAGCACCGCAAAAACAAACAAACATGCAAACAAAAACATTGTAATGCCTCAGATTAGATAAGGGCTTGTTTGAAAATCTATAGAATAAATTATGAAGCAATAGATATTATAGGTTGGTTTTGTGAGTTGGGGGAGAGATAATCTTCAGATTTAATTTTAAATAACCACACATGTCATTGCTGATAAGAATAAACAGTAACACTCATCAAAACAGTGACAGTTCTCAAAGTAGGTTTAGTGATAAAACATTTTGACAGTTTTATAGAAGGGTGACTTCAACATGTTCATTATGTTTAATGTGATCCACAACATTTATGTCACTGTGTAAAGTTTAATTACATTTTAAATTACAGATGTGAATTTCTTCAAAGTAAGAAGTCCTCAGAGGAAACTGCTTAGTATATTCAAAGGATTTGTTGGCGTGACGGTAACATAAATGAGAATTATTTCCTCAGTCTGTCTTTTTTGATTGCCTAGTACCTGAATCCCAAGTGGAGAGGCATTCTTTTTATGTTGTGAGTTTTTTCTTCTTTCCTTTCTCTTTGGATTCTTCTGCCTTTCATCTGCAGAGTGGTTAAAAAAAGAAAATGATGTTTTACATCCTTTTGCTACTCTAGAGTGCTTAGTAGTCCCTTTTCTAGGGACTGGAGAAAGCTGACCTTTGACAGCTCTGCCTGTCCTGCTGATCATCACTCTGCAGCTGAGGCCATGCTCCCGGCACCTCTGCTGCTAGTAAGGTGCCCTGGCCTGGCAGCACTACCACTGAGGGCTCCTGCTGGGTCTTTAACCTGCAGCAGTCAGGGTTACAGGAAGTGAGCAGAAACCCAGGTCAAACTGGCTGAAACTACAAAGATTTATTGGCTATGTGAATCAGAAGACCAAAACCCTGTAAAGAGCATGGGCTGAATGCCAAGCATGGTAGCACATGCCTGGAATCCCTGCACTCAGAAGGCTGAGGCAGGAGGATCACTGTTTGAGGTCAGCCTGTGCTATATAGTGAATTCTGAAAGGTTTGGCCCGGACAGGACACTGTAGCCAGGAAAGCCACAACTGGAAGCAGGAAGCCCCATCTTGCCCTGCCCCTAGGAAGTTACCTGTGACGCCATCTTCCCGCCCCTGGGAATTTACATATGGCGCCAAACCTAGGACCAATGGGCTACCTGTGTATCCCTAATGCCCGCCTTAGGTTCCACCCCAAACTGAGGCTATTTACAGGCCCCCACGCCGCGTGTCCGCTGGAGAGATCGCCGGACGCCAGCGGTGGGGTGCCGGTCATCTCTCTCCGTGTTCTCAGAATAAAGGCCGCTTTTTATTTTATATTTCTCATCTTTTGTTAATATTTTTCATCTTTTGGAAATAACTCTATCATTTGGTGCCGTGACTCGATCGGCAGGCAACTGACTCTTGGGCCACATACCCAGAGTCTTCTAGCCGATATCCAGATACCATCCTGGATTAATCCCGAGCTTTTTCCTCTCCCGAGACGTTCCTGTCGCCAGCCGCCTGCACTCCGCATCGGCCAGACTGATTTCAGGTGAGCACTCCCCGGGGAACTTTTCGCACTGGGCAGCCCCAGTGGAATGTTCTCCCCGTCTGCGTGGGTCTGTGCATTTTCACGTCCTTAGGACCGCCCAGGGCAGGGTTCTTTCTGGGCAAACCTGCGCCCACAAAATCTCTCACGTTCTTTGGGTTCGGATAGCCCAAAGCAGAGATTTTTGGGACCGCCCACACTGAAAGAATGCCTCACTTCCCTTAAAGGCTTGCGCTTTCACGGGCAAAACTGTTACTGACCCCACGTAGACTCCATTCGTAAATCTCTCAGTGACGACTGGAGTTTACAGTTTGGAACCGTAGCCGCCGCGTGGTACCACAAATAAGTGACGACTTTTTCTGGACCTCCGGTTTTTTTTTCTTGCCTGAATCAGTCATGGGGAACGTATTTTCTAACTCCCAAAAGACGCCTTTACGATGCCTAATTTCCAATTTACGTACTCTAAAAATTAAAGGTACCATAAAAACTAAACAACTAACTTTTTACTGCCAGGAGGTCTGGCCAACCTATCCGCTTATCGGCAAGCCTTGGCCCAAAAAAGGAACATTTGACCCCTGCATTCTCAGGAACTTGTACGATTTTTGTCAAGCTGGCAACAAGTTATTAGAACTCCCTTATGTCCAAGCCTTTCTTATTCTGAGAACACGCCCATCTCTCATTAAGTCTTGTGCTCCCGCTGAGATACTTTTAGCTAACTCTACCGCGCCGCAAACTTTTCCTACCGCGCCACAAACTTTTCCGTCCTGCCCTCCATTGTTTTCCCGGCTGCCGCCTGCCTACCACCAAACTCATTCCCTGCCGTTACCTCCCGCTGGACCTCTCTCTCCTCCCCCTATGCCTGATTCTCTCAGCAGCTCTAATCCCTCTCTGTTGCAGATACCTCCCGCTGTGCGATCATCTCCCTCTCCACCTTCCAGGACCCATAACTCTCCCAGCAGCTCTAATTCCTCTGTGTCGCAGTTATCTCCCGATGTTCAATCCTCTCCCCCTCCGTCTCCAGGGACCCATAACTCTCCCAGCGGCTCTGATCCCTCTGTTAGTGCTTCCTCACAGTCTCCGACTTCTCCTGAGAATTCTGTATCCCCTACAGCATTCTCACCACCCGCCCACCATACTAGGTCTCGGTCGCTGTGTCCTTCCAGCAGGTCGCGTGATTGTTCCAGCTTGCGTGGGGAACAGTCGCCATGTTGCAACCCTCTGCCACGTGGCATGGCGCCACCATGTTCCGGAGGGCCACATGGCGACAGGGCGCCGCCATGTTCCCAGGCACCGCCATGTTTCCAGGACCCTCACTGTCAACGGGAGTCTCCTTGTGGCTCTTCTTGTGAACTGCAACAGCTGCCCTGTTGCAGTGCACATGACGCTTCATTGTGCTGCCCACAGCAGTCCTCTGGCTGCAAGGCACACAGTGAGATGCCATCTGCTCATGTTTCCCAGGGTGACCGGCAGCAGCTCTGTAGCTGCTCTACAGATGATTGCTCACATGCGCCTACCGGAAGGATGGCTGCTCAAAAGCCCTCTGCTCCGGAATCTCCTCAGGCTCTGCTACCGCTTCGGGAGCAAGCTGGCCCCAAGGAACTTGTTAACATCCATGTGCCTTTTTCCCTTTCTGATCTATCCCAGATTGCCCATAAATTAGGTAGCTTTTCTGTTGACTCACAGAATTATATCAGGCAATTTAAATTTATTACTAATTGTTATGATTTACATTTTAAGGATGTTTATGGGATTCTAAATACCTCTCTCAGCTCACAAGAACAAAATCAGCTGTGGCAAGCAGTTCGAGAAAAAGCTGATCACAGACAGGTAAACACCGCTGATAATGACTCTAGGCCTATAGCTGTGCCAGAGCAGGTCAAGCATACTAACTATAACAAACTTTTAAAACAGGTCCAGGAAGCTAATCAAAACCCAGCTGTGTTCCTAAATTGGCTTTCTAATCCTCGAGCCCTGCAAGCAGTTCCAGCTTTGCGCACTGTGTCGGGCCGCCTCCCAGCCCCTCCCCCGTGCGCCATCCCAGCCCCTCCCTCCCCCATGCGCCGTCGTGGCCGCTGCCATCTTACACGTTTCCGGGGGCAATCCGAGCCCGCCCCTGGGCGCTACATCCCAGCGCTTGCCCCACCCACTGGGCGTGCTCTGCCAGAGCACCGCGAAACAGCAGCTCAGCGGCTCTGCTCAGGCAAGCTTTTCTACAATTTGGCTCCGCTCAAAAGATGCTTTTTTATCACAATTCTCAAACCATTTAATCAAGGTTATTGGCCACCTGATAATTTTACCAGCCTTGTTTATCAATCAAAGCCTTCACCAATCTCCTGTTTAACAACTAAGGTTATAAATTCCTTTTTGCTGGGAACCACTAGCTCTATTTCAAGACAAGGGTTTTCTTCTAAGTTTTATTTTATTTGTCTTGGTTCATACTACCACAAATAACAACTTTAAAAGTAAATGTGTTCAGAATTTGACAGTATTAGATCAGTTTTGATAGATTTATTCATAAGATTGCTAAACCTTTACTGCAAAATGTTTCCATTAAATCCTTGTTTGGCAGACTGAAGCCTTTTTTTGTTAATTCCATGTGGCACCTTAAAAAAAGTGGTGTGCCATCCAGATAAAGCCTGCTCTCTGATCTAAAATGCCAATATTAAATTCCTGCATACTTACTTAATTCTACTGTAGTCCAAATCCCAAACAAAAAGGCAAAACTTGACTTTCAAACCTTAGAGAGATCTTAATATGGTTTTTCATATTTTTAACACTTGTGACACTTGGAGTTCTGAGACAGGTAAACCTACACAAGGTGGAGCTGCCTGCCTCCTCCATGGACCACGCTCAAATGCAGCAGAAGATACTGGGCAAGAAAATGCCCCATCCTGGCATTCTTTGAGACCTTACTCCAGGGCTACTGGACTGTCCTAGCCACCAGAGAGTGGGTAAGCCATCCTAAGTTCTAGCCCTCATAGGAAATGTCGACACTGCCAGATTTGTCACCGACAGAAAATCCGCTGCTGAAGACTGAGGAAGTTCAGGGCAACAACAGCCCCCTTTAAGGTGTCCGTCTCAGATTCCAAGTCGCACTAAGGTCTCAGGTAAGACATTCTCTATATTTGTGGACATAGAGGCCATATATACAGAGTTCTTCCTGAGTTTTCAGGCTGCTATATTAAGTCCTCAGTCTCTATGATGGGGTATTGATGGTCAACCTATGCCATTTACAAACAGGGCCTATTTTGTGCAGGTCCCAGTCTTCTCACTTGGTTTATACTTTTTCAGGATACATAAAAGCCTTTCTCATACTTGCTAAAGTTCTGTTACAGCAAATCATTCCAAGGACTACAACCAGGTTACAGCGACCCATGCCTAAATCAAAGTTGCTGGACTGCCATCCTGGTTTCACATCACTCAGGCTAAGAGGTGCCCTCCCAGCCCTAAATCTGATCATTCTGAGTGGTCATCTCATCTTCTGTCGCCTACCCGTCTCCATCTCACAAAGGCCTCGCAGCCACAGTTAACAGGCTAAGTCATGTTTTGTTATCCACTTTGGTTCCTAATTTCTTACATTCTAATAATGATCATTTTTACAGCAGGACTCTTGGCAGTCTTTCCTAAAGACTCCCACATCATGCGTAAGATAATCTTCATAATGTTCTATATGATAACAGTTGCAGTTCTTTCTACCCTCAGCTGTCTGGTTAAACGTGACATCCCTGAAAGCATAAGCCCTTACCTTCCCTATACGGGTATAGCCACTGCCTTCCCTGCTCCCCCTATTCTTTCCAGTTCAACTCCTGGACCAGAGACAAGTTTTATACACCTACCGTCTTAACTTTTATGCTTTCAGATGGGGGAGTAATCACCTCTCATAACTCCACTCCTCCTAACCCCACGTTTAATTTTCAGAATTCTGCCTTACTGTGGAAATGCTTCTACCTCAACATGGTCCTGATAGAATGATATGTCTAAATCAAAGGCACCTTTCCCTCTACCTCACCTGGGTCCTTAAATATGACAGTG